CACGAAAGATACCTCCAGCCCCTGTCTCTTCTGACGCTTGCCCATTGTGCTGGGCAAGGACGATGTTGGGGAATCACAGGAGACAGCTTCAGAGGGAGCTATTCCTTTCTTCTGCTTGCAATAAACTACTAATGAATATATCCTTTTAAGGCAAGACAAAAGCTTGTTGTCAGCAGAGAACTACAGCTGCAAGCGGGCTGTCACGCAGCCCACTTTGTTGGCCAGAGAGGGAACCAGGGAAATGTAGCTCCAATGGAGATGTCTCTGTGTGATCAGATGAAACCTCCCCTTTCCTGTCCCCTCATCTCATGTCTCCTAAATAATAAATGAGCTGGGGCAGGGATCATTTTTTTTCCTGGCTTCTGTGTTTAGGTATTGCTTAGCACAAAACTGTTTCTGTTTCACATAGTAACAAACAACAAAAACAGTGGCAATGGCAATTGTTTGATTATGAAAAGCTCCAGGCACAAGCAAGACCTCCTGGAAAAGCTCTAAGTTAAAATCAGCACTTGTATAAATAATTTATATCAGTATATGCAAGTTTTACACTGATGACCTACTCCAAAACTGGGAAGAGTAGGTGGTTAATCAGATTAATTAAAGAATCTCTCTGACTTTAGCGTGCTCTGGTTTGGCAGTTTGTCCACTTGATGATATTTTGCAATAGACTTGTCGTTGTTAAACTGAGGACCAAAGTCAAATCAGTGAAACACTAATATTAATAACATGTTTTATTAGTAATTCCTGTTGTAGTGCCACCGTTATGACTAAGGAAGAAGAAAAACCTCAGACAACCAGTCACTTCTGCAGAGCATCGTGTAAGAGAGGTCAGGAGACCAGACGGGTTGGTTAGACAGTAGAAGGTAATTTCTTTTTTTTCTCCCAAACCTACCAATAAATTTCATTTTACTTGTAGTTAAGGTTGCAGGACTCTGATTGCTGGTGAGCTCCAACCTAAGTTGCTTGTGACTGAGGTTTATCCTTAATATACTAAGGCCAGCCTAGGTCTGTATTTAATTAACATCAAACAATTAAACAGAAGGAGACAGAAGCAAGGAGAGGAGGGACAAAATCATGCACAGAAGAGACAGACTAACAAGGGTCTGCCTTGTTTGAATGGGGCTTGGCAGGAGGTGAGTTTAGGATTAATTTTCTCTGTTCCTGCTTACGTCCATTCAACAGAGAAGACATGGTAAATGAGAGGGAGCTTGGGGCGTCAGAGCTGGAGGAGATGCTGAGTTTCGGATATGATTGATTTCTTAGTCATTTTGTGGTAGGATCTCAGTGACTTTTTCAAAGTGGTAAGAAAGTCTTCAGCTTCTTAGTATCAGTAATATCAGGCATAGCATGGCTGTCTCACAGCATTGCATGGCTGGCAGCAGGAGCCCGTCTCAGGACATGGGGCTTACGCTGCCATGGTTGGTAAACACAAAAGGAGCATCCAGATGACTGTGCTCTATCAGGTTCCTTGTTCTGTTGCCCATGGTATCTCCTTGTAGTGCTTCAGAAGGAGTTCCCATTGCTAGGAAATGATGCAACGTTGCTGCTGATGAGCACGTCCTGCTTGATCCCTGCAAGTGATCAGTGATGGTAACTTGAAGTGACACCGGGTTGTGTTTGCTTCACTGTTGCTGATTCTTCCTGTTGTTAACCTTTGAAGGATCTCTTTTATAAGGAGGGATGGAAAGTTTTAATGAAGTTTTCAAAATTTAGTCACAAATCACAAACTTCTGTTTCAAACAGAGGAAAAAAAAAATGTTAAGACAATAGCATAACAACTTTTTCCGGTGTGAAATGAAGCTGTGGTTTATGAGCAACTTGCTGCCCCCCTTTTCTTTGCAAAGCTGCAGCACTAAAGGGGTTTGTAGAATGTCAAGTGCAGCTGACACACACCAGATACTCACACACTATCTTTCCACTGTAGCTGCATGTTTCCAGTTCAGTGGCCAATACTGCCCTCTCTTCTGGGTACTCTCAGTGTAAACATCACACACTTTAAAATACAGTGTGCAAACCACAAACACTCCTGCGCTCTCATCTCTCTGTGGTGTAGACCTTTAGCCTGATCAATGGGTTGAAAATCTCCGCAATCTCCATGCTTGTTGGTACCTCAGCTGAGAGTTTGATAAAAGAAGACCTGAATGTGTTATGAATTTTCCTTGCACAGGCTTCTCGCACCTTCTCTCTCGCTGCTGCAGAGCTCATTTGTGCAGACATTTGGTAAATCAGCAATCCCTGATGGCATCTTTTGGGGACTGGTGTCAATTTGCTGTGCCAGTGCCACAGCTGGAGTTAACAGTGGACAGGTTGGTTTTCTGCAGCTCCAGTTTTCTAAATACCACAGAGATTCAGTCCAGAACTACAGAAAGACTTCCTATTTTCTGACACTGGATATAGACTTTCCTTAATAATAGGAAAATTATCTGTATAGCTGCAGTGTATATTTTTTTTTTTGTCTGAACAGCGGTTCCAGTAGTCTTTAATTGGTGAACTGGGCTCATTGTCTCAATTCCAGTTCCCACAATCAAATTTTGGGTTTGAGGCACTGTTTTGTAGTTGTCCTCCTAGTTCAGCTCGCTTCCAGGGCCTCATAGCCTTGGTGTTATCCCCACAGCCCTGGGAGCTGACTTCTCCTGTCTCCATCAATCCAGATTCTTGTCATGTCCGGTCTCCTTCCTTGCTGCACGCTGACCTTCTTCCCTGAAGACCTTAGACAGGCAAGTCTGATGC